AGACAGAGAGAGAGAGAGAGAAAGAGGGGCAGGACTTGACCTGTCATCCCGCAGTTTGTCTACAGCAATCAACCTTAAACCCAAGCCCTAACGATCTACATAAGCACAAGGTCTTACACCAGACGCTGCAGCGTGCCGGTCGTGGCCGGGACAAGAGTGACATGCTGAGCCGCCAGGTCTGCGTGTCTTCGTTTCCTTGTTGTATAGGATACAGATACCTGGATCCCTGGTGATGTAGCGGTAGTGTTCAGGTTTAGAATCTGGGTTTCTTGATTTGTTTTGCATGCCTTGAATTTCAACGTTGGTGGCTTGTGTGGGGTCGACGTGCATGCTTTCAGTTTCATCAAGAATATACTTTTGCAGAGGCCAAGCAACACACAGTTGTTAGAGGGCTGTCGCCCTAAACGGTGTAGCATGTTTTTGGAGGAGGCTTAACATAGTGCACATGGTGTTATCCTGAGTGTTGAGTGTATTCAATGAAGCAACTCGTGGAGTAGGTCGGGGCATTCATGACCACAAGCTGCATGCTATTTCGCACTCAAAGCCAACCACCGAAGCCCACCATCTCAAACCCTGCTAAGTCTCAGATTCCTAGATCTACGATCGCCAGGTTGCGCAGACTGTGCGTCATCTCCAGCGCCAGGCCGGATTGGGGGGCCGTGATTTCTCAGGCTACGAGGACGCCGCCCCAAGTTTGCTGCCATCTGCTTGCTGCTTGATCCCCAAGGCCCAAACACTGAGTCCGGGATTTGAAAGCGTAGATCCACCATACAGCCAGGCAAGCTTCCATCTCCGGACATTGGGCGTCTATCGCCAGGAAAGCTCCTTGCCTCGTTTAGGAGTCGAGGCCTAGGCTACAGCGACTGATTGAGATTGAGCTTGAGGTTTTGGTGTAGTTTGGGTTCAGGGACACAAGGTTTGTCTACAGTCAGTAAGGTTTGTGGAGCTTCCGAACTTCCGTGTGCTTCTCTCGAAACTATAGTCCAAAGAACACTGCGATGCTATAACATGTCACCTAGACATCTTTATCAAATGCAGCGAGCGAGAGACAGAGAGAGACGGAGAGAGGATTAGAGATCGCACAACGGTGTTGTTTAGAAAAGCCTACCCCAATTCAAGTTTTCATGATGCTCACAACTACTAGAACCAGCAAGAGTAGCGAAGTTCTTGCAAATAAGTTCCAACAGCAATGCCACCTAATATGTGCATATGAGCAGCTGTAACCCCCTAATGAAGCACTTAAGTGGGGTTATAAGTCCCCTAATTAGGGTTATAGGTATAGCTACCCCACTGATAACCCCATTTATATACAACTACCCATGACCCCTAAACCCTAAACCCTATAACCCTTATAGTGACCCCATTTATAATAGCTACCCATGAACCCTAAACCCTAAACCCTAGACCCTAATTTTGTATAGTTACCCTACTTATAACCACATTTCTAATTATGTATACCTACCCATGAACCCAAAATCCTAAGCCCTAACCCTTATAGTAACCCCTTTAGAATAACTCCCCATGAAAATGAAAGCAAGGGCCTTGGCTGAGAGCCGAGGCAACGCCTCGAGCCACGCCGCGCGCGGCAAGACCTCGAAGGCCTTGGCCCGGGAGCGGCACCAGGCGGATCTGGTTTTGGGGTTTAGGGGTTTTGGGGTTTTGGGGTTTTTGGGGTTTAGGGTTTAAGGGTTTTAGGGTTTTGGGTTTAGGGTTTAGGGGTTTGGGGTTTTAGGGTTTATGGGGTTTATAGGGTTTTGGGGTTTAGGGTTTAGGGTCTTAGGGTTTAGGGTGTAGGGTTTGTGGGGGGAGGGGAAAGTTTGAGGAGCATCTAGAAACGGTCCTAAAAGGGTTTTGCTAAGTAGGGGAGACGGGGGTGTGGGGTGCTGGGGATGGGAAAACACATGGAGGGTTTTCGAACAAAGGGGATCCTATTCTAGAGAACTACACACATCGCAGCATATTGTAATATATATATATATATATATACACATACATATATATATATATATATTGGAGTACATCTCGTCGTACATCATAGAAAAATTAGGGTTCAGTGCAGGTCTAGAGGATGGTTCTTCTTAAGGGCGAAAAGACGGGTTCTATGTAGAGCTTTGGGCTTTGGGGATTTTAAGATCTACTGGACCCCAAACGGGCCAAAAGTCAGGGCTACGCTGCCTGTACCACAGAAAGGTTCCAGAGATGGATGTAGGGTTTTAAAGTTTACTTGGAGGTTTCCTGGGTAGTTATAAGTGGGGTTATAAGTCCCCGAATAAGGGTTACAAGTATAGTTACCCTACTTATAACCCCATTTATAACTACCCATGAACCTCCAAGTAGGGCAGCGAGGGGATTGCATAGTACTAGTAGGCGCGCTTAAGGGTTCTGCTTTATGGACGCTTCATTGAGGATGTGGTCTTCGTGTAAACATACAAAGTGTCAAGTAGCCTACCATGGCATCATCAGTATAGTTACGTTTTGTCCCTGTGCGAGTAACTTAAACCGAGTTCGTTCTGCAGGATTCGTCCAGCATGTCGGTAGCCGTTCATGACGAGGAAACTTACAGGCTGCAACGCAGCACCATCAGACTTTGGGCAAAGAGCACAACTTTCAGCAGTACTACAAGGCTTTGCTTGGATTTCGTATTCCAGCTTACGACCGCCGTGTATCTGGAAGTTTTCGATTTCAAACATATTTGTTTACATACGTACAGTCAGACATCTATACACATGTACATTGTACATAATTTAATATACGTATATGTTTACGCACGCACTGCTCTATTCATGTGGATTGGGAGTTGGCAGGTTACAAGTCTCTCAACAGACGTGGGTGTGGGGGAAGGTGTGGTTTGCTTAGCTTGTGGTCCCTCCCCAGGCTCCAAATGCCGGAAACTCAACTCGAGATGTGTAAGTCCTGTCAACTGCTATCCCTTGAATTTTCATTCCGCCGGCCATACCTGCACGACTTTTTTTTGGGGGCCATTCTCGTCTTCAGCCCCAAGCCCTAAACCCTAAACCCTAAACCCCAAGAGGTGATGATGTCTTTGGACCATATCTGGTGGCAGCTGCGTACGAAGCTGGACTCGCTCCTCGGCCGAAAACAAGAGCCAAGGCGAATAGCTATAGTCTCCATTGTAGTTCCTTTTTTTGGTGTAACCAACTATATAGTAAGGATTTTAAAAGGTATCCCCAAAAAGGAACTACAATGGAGACTATAGGTAGAAATATATAGTAAGGATTTTATAAGGTATCCCCCAAAAGGAACTACAATGGAGACTATAGGTAGCCCACAAACATGCATACACGCAGACAGGCAGGCGAAAACAGGCACACGGGGTACACGCAGACAAACACAAAAGCAGAGAGCCACAAACGTACATTGCAAAGCAGAGCAGTGCAGTAACTTTCAGTGCGTTTATCGTACATCATGCACACGTTAGCAAAATTTAGGCAGATACGTACATACATACAGACATACGTACATACATACGTACGTTCATTCTTGCAAACGTACATACGGATACACATGCCCACAGATGCATGTATGCATGCATACATATATACACCAGTATGTGTTGAGTATTTTGCTTGTTTGCCTTTCAATATGTGGGATGTTGTACATGTTTACTTGTTTGCGCTGTATGCAAGAGAGGGTGTCTATACATAAGTATAAACACGTATCTGTGCATTTCAGTGTGAAGGTATGAATACAAAACCAACACACGGCAGCATGCACCTAATGCGTCTACCCACATGTATGTTTATATCGGCACATAATAACACATATGTACATAAACATAAATATTGAGAATATAAACAATATATATATATATATGGTACCCCCCCCAGGACCTACCTCCAAACCTGTCTGTCTACATATATGATACTACATTTTAGTACCCATGCACATACATGCACACACACACACACACATACGCACACACATGCAACATGGACTATGGTATACGAAGATTAGTGTATACGAACATGACT